TATGTGAATACGGAGCTGTGCCTCATTGACTTTCAGAGATGAATTTCAGCTAATGACTTGCGGGTCTAAGACCCGTTCCACCTACCAAGGTTTGGGCAGTCTAGTAGTAGTACCATTAGCTCTCACTCAATAGACATACCTCAATACCTGCTACACGAATGTGCATAAGGTTCTTGACTGCATTTACACTTATTACGTTTTAAATGTGAATCTGGATAACAGGACAGGTTTGCCTCGTTAGGCAGACTAAAACACGTAACAGGATTGTGAATGCCTAGTATTTCATCTGAAGCTAGTTACACACTAGTTTACGAAAAATCAAACCATTTTGTACTAGCCTTAGAATGGATCATTTCGACAATAACGACAATAGTTGCGGTAAGAATAAAAAAACATTAATTCTCACAAATATCGGAAAAAGACTAACGATGCAATAAAATGGTAATTTTTGGTCAGGCAGCTAAGTGCTGTAGACAATCTTTTGTAAATCATTGAGTCGCTAAATAAAATCAAATGGATCTCATCAGATTTTTACAGTGATAATAAAGCAGATGTGGTCTCCGACCTACATAATCGATTATATCACTGTCATGTGAGCACTACTGAGATCAAGTGAAGAGTACTAGGCAAGAAAGTCAAGTCGATTGATAAGGTTGTGGACCTTCATTGACTGGGATGCCTAGGACACGTACTACCTATGCCCGGTCACCTTCTACCTAGACATCCTACACTAGAAGAAGTCAGATCGGGTTGAAATGGGGATCAGGGTGGCTAGACCAAGGCCAGACACCACTGTATGAAGTCTCTCACTGTTGGTTAGGGTCGTGTTCGGGGCTGTAGACTACCTGTTTGGGGTCCAAGATATGAAATGAATCAGTGGTTAAGAACTCTTGATGACATGGCTGAAAATCAGTCACAACGGCACAGATGTATTCATTGCTTGGTATCTTCTTAAGCTTGAATATTTGCACTTACCTTTATCTTCAGGTTGTTTGTTCTCTCATACTATTTTATCTACTCTGGTATTGCTCCTTTTCTGTTTACCTGTTCTTTGTATGCTACTGTGAAGTGTGGAAACTCCAACCGATGCTCTGGTTTGTGAGGTTCTACGTTGATTTTGTCAACCAGTCATAACATTGTCATAGACTAATTTTTTTGAAGGTACTCACATTCTGTATTGCCATCAGCACTAGTCATTAAAAGTGAAAATTGAGGATTTGTTTGCACGATGCGAGTAGTTGCCAATTTAGTTTCATGCTTAACAAAACACTCCCGACATTAAGGATCATGTCAACTGAGTACTATATAGGTTCAGTAATTAACCAGTTTCCTCAGACTGTTTTATAATTTGGAGTATGAAATCATACACTATAAGGGAAGAGAATACTTGTAGTCTTATAATTATATTAGTACTGTTGGAGTGGCCTGAAATAAGCTTACAAATAACAAGATGTGGTCGTTGTAAGTTAGTTGCCCATTGGATAACACTTAGGTGTTGGGAACGACGCGTGTTACGTTCGAGTCTTAGTGGGAATAACAACATTGGGAGGCAGTTAGTTCATCCAGCTCACGAATCCATTGTATGAGATAACGCCCGTTGTAGATTCCACTGCTATTCGGCCTTCATCTTCATTTATGAACCACCTTAGTCTAAACAAATGCTATTTTTTTTCAAATCTTAATAGTATGACAATCAGGAAGGCAGCACCGTAATTAACAACTAGTTGTTCCTGACTACTCTGACGATGAAAAACTGTACTTCAGTCTAGATCCTTCTATGACTAACCGAATCATATGTAGTTGTCATATTCTGCTATTCACTTATGTGTACTAAGTAAGCATTCAACTAACCGACATAGATAAGTTAGCCTAGACACTAAATTAGGTACAATATAGGATGTCCTGTCGTTGCCTGATTTGTATCAGTGGTCAAATATATCACGTTTAACCTCGCCTTGGTAACTAGTTCACGAGTTACTGGCCAGTAACCTAAGCCCGGCTAAAGAGGGAAGGTTGAGTATAGGGCTAGCAACGCTATCACGTAAAACAAATCTAACCGCTAAAGAAACTTCAAAGCACAAACAAAATATGAAAAATAAAAACAAAATTATTCCCCGCTGGAATCGGAGAGGCGAAATGACGCCAGTTGGCGAAAGCCTTTAGGAAGCCAATTGACCGATGTGTCTTCTCTCGATAAAAGCGAAAGTAAGAATGGGGACATGGAATGTCCGAACAATGTTTGAACCTAGCAAGGCTGCCCAGATTGACAAAGAGATGAGAAGGTACAGCATAGAAGTGCTAGGAATCTGGGAGGAATTTGCAAATGGAATGGAAGTGAACTCTCTAAACTGTCATCTGGAGAGGAGTCAATAATCTACTCCGATATTGTCACCCAGACGACAACCACGAGCACATTGAGTTGTGCAGTGGCTATCATGATGTCCGCAACAGCATAAAAGGTTTTCATGCAATGGGAACCAATCTTCTCCAGCATCTGGATCATGACACAAGATTCAACTCAAAAGGAAAAAAGCCAGAATCATTCAATGCTACGCGCCTACAAATAATGCAGATCAGGAGAAGAAGGAAGAATTCTACAGACAACTACAATCAAAGAACAGAGTGCAATGGAGGCGTGCTACTGAAGCCCTATGTTCCACTAGGAATCCAAGGGACAAATAATAATAATAATAATAATAATAATATATCACGTTAATTTCAACATCACAAATAGAGGTAATGTTAATCGAGAGAGCAAGGTCGAGGGAAGCTGTGTGCCGATTTGGACACACATAATCATCATCATCGTCAGTTACAATGAGAGAGGTCAACTTTCTGTCTGTCACCCACTTTTTTTCTAAGGAGATTAGCAATGTGAACGTCAAGTTTGTAATCTGATAGTTGGGTTAAGTGTAGGAGTGTTTTCTGAGCTAGATTGTTTAGTCGTGGGGCTTTCATCGTCTTTCTAGACATAACCACATCAGCACTAACTTCAGTATGAAATGAGCTGTCAATATCCCTCTGCGAGTGATTCAGTAACTTGCCCTGATGAACTACTTTGTCAAGTTGGTGTTTATCATGGACTGAAATCAGTTGGAGGAACATTGGAAACCTGGGAGCACTGGACATCTGTCTCGTCCTAGTTTAGGACTCTTCAGCAGAGCGCACCCACGGCCCCACCGGGGATCGAACCCACGACCTTCAGGTTTGGTGGCTAACATGTTGCCATTGAGCCAATGAGTCAGAACCCAGTAGTCCATATCTCTAACTTCTGTCAGTTCACGAAATAGCGCGACCATCAACTAATATCAACGTTGAGTATTTGTCCTCATGGCCGCCAGGTCAGTCTATGATGTAACTTGAAAAATCCCTAAAATCCTCACAAACCCCCAAATTCAATTTAACTACTTTGTGGTTAGTTATTTCCTTCGATTGTTGTGTTATTGACAGCATAGGTTTTTCTGTTAGCTGTTCCTCTGCTTAATCTCTGACCTTTCTGTCATTTATCACTAGCCCTATTGGTTGATGGATTCTGTCTATATCTATACATCTACTGATTGTAGACTGACCTGAATGCTAAGCTTTTAAGAATTCCCTGACATTCTTTGTGTTTTCCCTGTCGAAGATTTCTACATTGTCAAAATTGAATTCATGTCCACAATTATCCACGTGCATATTTGTGCATGAAATATATATATATATATATATATATATATATATATATATATATATACACCATATGTATGTACTTATCCATCTATTGATTTCTGATGTATCTAAACTTTGATCGATGTCCTTTGGGTGATGAATGACTAAATTATTGGTCATATGACTATTCACGTTGCCTTGTAAGGTCATTTTATTAACCTTTAAAAAATTCTTAGAACATTTGATAATTTGGTAAGAAGATTCACTAACATTACAAGGTAATTCTAACTATGAAGTGTTTTGAGCTAGAGAACTCCTGAAAATCAGGAAGCACTGTAAAGATTTAATTCATAGATCACTCAAATAACAATCTAAGCAAACAGAGAGACATGTGAAATGAGATAGAATATTTTTTTACTCAGATCGATGGTCTTAGTATAACTTCGTTTTCGATAGTTAATGCATTTGATTTTGTCTAAAGGTATAATAAAAGCTTGTAGATTATACTATACAGTTCAGAAAACAGAACACAAAATCAAAAAATATCAATGTATAAACTTGAGGATAAATGCACCAATTTAGGTTATCACCCTCAACAATAAGACAGAAAAAGGAAGTGAACGAACGTAAAGTGAATGAAGCTGAAGTAGACAGATTTTTTCTAAATTCCAAAGATAATAAAGATTGGATGTATCCACTATACTGTGAACTTTTCACAATCATATAACCAAGAGATTCCTATTATTTATTCATATCTTCCCAAGGACTGAAGTTGAGTAACCTACACATCCCTACAAGATTCATAGAATCCATATATTTGTACTATATTCTTGTGTTGTACTGCTACTTCAGATTGAATCGATCGGCAAGATAGACAGTCGTACACCGAAAGTCCCTTTTTATCCTCAACTTCCAGCCTTTAGGTTTCACTGCCGTGGAACAGGATAGAATGGACTTTTGAATAGGTTACTTGTCATTGGGTTTTCTTGAACAGTGTCAAGTGAACTAATTCAAGGTATGAAAAGATACTCAACAATGAAATTAGATAGTAGTGGACTAATATAACAATTAAACGGAAGTATAGTGATGTGGACCATTCTACTTTAGTCCGGTTACTAAATATCAAAATATTTCATGTGAATCCTGTTGGTTGTAAGCTTAATATCGTATGACGTTGAAGTCACCCCATGCTAATACTTTCTAAACTAGAGCGAAATAATAACTCATTAATCACCGTTTTCAGTCATCCAATTCATGGGGAAAACCATCTCAAAATCAAAAGATTCTTCACAAACCTCCTGATTGAACGATTTATATAATAAACAGAATTAGAATTAAGCGAATTAACCTACCCGACAGTCTGAATGGCCACATATAATTAAATCGTTGATTTTACATCGAATCAGAGTCATCTCTAAAAATCCTGGTGTAACAGAGATTTTATTGAAATGACTTGATGTGTAATTTTCACAACAAACAAAATTTCCAGGATTTCTTTCAATAAACAATTCACCAACATTTGAGCATAAAAATTTTGATGGTGCAACACGTGAATCAACACATGTAATAACAGCTGCTATTGCCTAGAATAATAAAGAAGTATAATAAAGATTACCTAAATAATGAATGAATAAGTATTACAGAAATACAAAACAAAGAAATATAAGAAAAGGTCAACCTACATTCGAATTTTCATTCAATAGTTTAAGTTGATTCAAAAATGTCTCTTTGCCAATTTGTGTAAATTTTAGTATCCCAGATAATACTTGATTCATTCAAGATAAAATAGAAAGAAAATTGAGTTGTCTGAAATAAAACAAAAGTGTAGTATAATTTTAATGTTTAAAACAAATAAATGTAGAATTTGATCGTATATATATATATATATATATATATATATATATAAGATGTTGAATGAATTGTCAGTCAAATATAAGTGAGACAGCTAGATGGAATTCAACTTCTGAATTTTACTATAATTTTCTATGGAATAACAATTGTCCTGATCAAGATATATATTAGTTATCTGACACCAGTAATAACGCCAAGATTACTTTCGTCAGTCACTTCTCCCATAGGATGTCAAACATATATTTGTTATGATATAAGGAGTATGACAAGGTTGACTACATTCACCTATGATCTTCCTGATTGTCGTCGACTGGACTGGATCATACAATAAACAACTGTGAGGAGCGAGAACATGTGCATACGCTGTTTGACCAATGAAAAGACCCCACAAGAAGATTTGGATTTCACCCATGAGATATTTTATGTCCGTTAACCCACAAACTCGAAGATCTACAGGCAAAAACCAACAAGTTGGCAGAAGAGGCGGGGCAGCGGAGGAAGATGGGACTTCCTTCACGTGAATGTAGAGCAGACACAGGTGATGAAGATACACAATAACAACAACAACAACAAGCACCAATCAACATCAATGGGAGAAATATAAATGAAGTTGTCTCTTTCACCTACATACCTAACCAGACAGCATCATCTCAACTACAAGCGGCACATACACAGATGAGGATGTCAAAGCCAGTCAGGATCGGAAAGACAGCAACACAAGTCTTCATCAACCTGAAATCAGTGTGGAGATCTGCTGCACTCCATTCCACTCCACTCCATTACACTCAGCATAAAGCATGAACAACATCCAGATTTTCAACACTAATTCAGTCAAGTCACTGATCCTATGTGATGGTTGGGAGACTTGGCGCGTTGCGAGAAGCATTTCCAACAAACTGTAGACACACATCAACAGCTGACGCCTACGCTCACTCCATATTGAAGATTAGATCAGATGGTCAGAATAATAAGAATAAGCAAGGAGGAACTCACTCTGGCTGGCTGGCTGGCTGGCAGGTAGGCAGGTGACGAACCAACGAGGCAAGAACCTATTGCGCAACAAATACTCAGGAGGAAGTGGAGATTGATTGAATTGGACATACACTGAAAAGACCACTTGGGGACATCACGCGTAAGATCAGGCCCACGAGTGCAACCCAAAGGGGAAAGGACGAGTTGGGTTTCCGAGGCAAGGGTGACATGGAGGAAATAATTTGAGGAAGATAAGCAAGCTTGTGGGTAGTGGTGGAGCCAGATTGAAAAGACTGCAGAGAAGAGGGTGAAATGGCTATGCGCTAATGAAGCCCTATGTTCCACTAGAAACCCAAGGGACAAATAATAATAATAAAGTGTTTATAATGATATCCACAGATGATTATTAAAATGGATAAAAAACCACGGTTGAAAGGGATATTTAAACTACCATCTTCCTGATCATCAATTCAAAGTTTTACTAGCCATTTTACCAATCAGTTTAGAGAGTGGAATTTCCCCCTTGCTATCAAGTAAATAAAAGGTTAGTAACTATCTTCTATTCGTTTATTAAGTCAGTTTTACTCATGCCAATCTAAATGTATCCAATTGAAAGAGTGTAAGCCACTGAATGTCTGTTAATTCCACTAAAATAACTGAAGTTGAAAGACTTGTCCTTACACTGAAGGATAATGATAAAATTTTACAACAAATTGGGTCATGGCAGTATTCTGACAAGAAGCCTTCAGATTATCTATTTTTGTGGTTATGCATCTCTCATTTGCAAGAAGGCTGGGTAGGATATCGAATGCTTCAAGTAATTAGATCTTATTAGCGGTTGGTCGTTGCATTTTATTTAACACAGAATGAAGACGGTCAATACTTACTAATTTTGTCACTACTTAGTCTTTCTTTCAACTGACATTACTATCCATGAATATGTAAATCACTCAGTCAGTCATATTCACTTTCGATAGCTGAATTATTAACACCACGTAATAACAACCAATGTGGATGTTAAAAAAGACTTATGAATACATATTGGGAAAGTTAAGAGATCGGTCACTCATCAGGCAGTCTAGAACTTTAAAAGCGACACACTGGTTAGTTATATTTACCACCAGAATAATAATGTCTCAGTGAATCCATTACTTTTCACAACTATTGGAGTAAAAGCCAACCAACAAATCAATCAAATTATAATACAAACAAGATTGAAGTCTCATTGCTTTTCACTGACTGCAGAGTTTAATTTTAGTCAGCATCAGTACTGTTATAAAAGACGAATACTTAGTGAAAATATATCACTTAATAGTCATAAATATTCTTAGGGATTGAAATTCAGTTTACGTGATCTGTTTAGAATAGCAATAATATCCATTTTTGTCTATGCTATAAAAAAACTACAAATTTTGTAAGCTTCTGAAGTATGGTTTTTAATTAGACCATTGGATAAAAAAATTCCCTGGCGCCTTTTTCTTTCTTATCATTTTCAACTATGAGTTGTCAGGACAGTGAGACAATTGGCCTAATATGCAATCATTAAAAAGACTTATATCAGGTGATAACAGATTCCTGAAATTTTTATTGAATTACTTATAATTAGCGACTAGTAGTCTATAAAGATCCCTTCTAATTTATGATCATTATATTAGTCACTTATCAGAATCGGCTAGGCAAAATTTCTCAGAAATTTTTTTGTAAATTGTTGTCACAGAGCTTTTATATGTTCTGGAATATGTTATTAACTCAGTTCTAACTAGCAATCATATTCATAAAGTATTTTATTGTTATCAAATCGTTTGTCAAACTTCCAATAACACAATTCTGTGATTGCTTTCGCGTGTACTTATTTCTTTATTGAAAGACGTAACCCGTGTAACAATAAACGGATTCAGTCGCCTGTTGGAAATTAACTTATTGTTTATCTACACTCCATCAAAATAGTTTTAAAACTGTGGCAATCCATTGGTCTTCAAATATATACCAGGATTCTTCAAATGCCAGGTAGTAAAAAAGTAAGTATATTTTCGTTAGAGAATCTAAGTAGTATTTTGGAGATATCGTCATTTACTGCAAATTCGGAGGGATTCATTACTAATTACGCTATGTCATCAAACAGATCCTAACTTTTCCTTTGGTTACGGCAGAAACACGTATCAATTCCCTCTTGCAACAGTAGTCTAATTCCATTATCGAGATGTTAAAATGGATTCAGCACAATCCATAAATATTCAACTGATAACAGCCTAAAGCCCAAGATTCGGTCATGTGGTTACAACTCATGTGTGTATGCAAACCTGTGCTGACAAATATTATTAAAGTGTCATTGACCCTACTTTTCCAATAAGTATTTCAAGACAGGAACATAACATACTAAAAAACTATGCCTCAAAACTTTTGTCAAAAGCAATTAAAAAATAATATTGTCCTATAAAAGAGTATAAGATTGGTGTTTCACTGAATAGCAGTACAGCTTTAGCAATAAAGTTACCCAGGTCAGTCAGATTTTGTCATCACTAAGGTTGCGCTCATTTGCGCACCAGTGCATGATTTATCTGCCCAAGGAAAAATATAGAGAAAATTAGTTTCTGTTGCATGTAAAAACAAGACTCATGGCTTTCTGATATTGTTTCTTTGGTCAAACAGATGGAGATGTATATGATAACTGGAAAAATACCAAATTTATCACAAGCTTTAAGTAATTAAGGACTAAAAAGGCAAACAAAATACCCCCTATCTAAGATAGAATAAATGTAAGGTGTATGACATAGCAATTTATACCACGATTAGTAATCAGATTCCATTTCCAAAACTGAAGTTTTATATTTCTCATGATTTTAGTGTCCAAAAGTATAAACTCTGAATGGTATATACTAACTTATTATATTTAAAACACTTTTTTGATCACCAATATGTTGTGATAACAAGTGTTTATGAAGTCAGAGTTCAGAACACGCTGGAAATATTCTTTAAATCCATATTCTGCTCAAATACCACTTCTTAGGGTTGGTACTGAAAACATTCGTATTAGCTTTGGGAAAATGCTGTGTTTACAAGTCAATGTACCAAATGACAGACTAAGTACTTTGTGTGATGCACATCCCTTGCCTTTTAAAGGTTTGGTAAATTGCGTAACCTTAAACTTTGCGCTCATTAATTAGTCTTCCATATCGAGTGCGAGCGATGTGATGGCTTGGGCTTGGAGTGAGCAAGTACTCCCATTACACACAGAGATATCCTCGTAAGCCGATAAACCAAGTGCAGTTACTTATTTTATATCTTAGATAATGTATTGGAGTTTATTAGGTTTCCTTAACCTTTTGGAGTAAAATAAGCAGAAGCGTAGGTGGTATGCTCATATTTTTCTCGTATATTTATATCACTCGACCAGAAATTTGTTCATTTGTTTATCTTAGTAATGAAATTTATCAGATAACAGCAAGGTATTAGTTTTAAAGTAAGATATGCGAACCATGTTTTAAACATATTTTCATCACCTACATCTCTAGTTACTCCCGATCTTCGTCCTCAGAGGGAGTATCTTTTGGAGTTGCTTGAAAAGCGAATTATAGGGAGACGGTGAGATACTTTCGGAGATGAAAATGGTGCCCTGAGGAGTAGGATTATTAGACAGGAAGTTGATGGCCGTGCATTCTAATCTAAAAAAAGCTTTTCGTGTATACCTTCTGCAGTTTGCTTTGCTCAGCTTATTAAATTATTCTGTACAGCACCTGGATTATGAAGAAGAGTTGATATACCACTAAGGAACTAGTTTGCTATTCTTACAACATTCGACAATGCATTATCATAAAGCGTAATTGTAAAAAGCATGCCAATTGTAATTGGTTTTGATCCTCATCATTAGTTTTCAGTGCCTTATACAGTTCACATTCATAACACTGACTTCTTGAATTCTACCTTATCAATGTAGAGTGACCTTATTGTACTTCTAAAGACGGCAAATTTCGACGAACATCTCTTCTATTTACGTTTACATATATGTGCTGCACACTTGTACTGATGATAAGGGATTTCAGTTACTCAATGAAATACTTTAACCAATATTCAAATTGCTAAGGGAGGAATTCGCACATTTTCCACTAAAGCAAAAGAAACTGGTTTTCGAAATTTAAGGTAAAGTATCAAACTGCCTGCTTGCAAACTTACTGCCTATCACAATGAATGCATGCTATACATGTTTTCTTTGTGTTAATAGTCATTTTCGTTGCCTGTCAATTCAACGTTATCTATGGGAAGATAACTGATGAGTCGATTATGGAATAAACGATGGTGTTACTCCATCACATATATTTCTAAACCCATCCCAAGCATCTCTACCGAACTAACTACATGAAAAGTCTAGTCATTCAAAATAACACTATTCTTAATCCCCAACGTAACACATGTGTAGCCTGGGGTGACCACAGAGGTATTCACACTCATCTCTAGTCACTTTTTAGAAATCCATACTAAATTTGGCATTAGGTGCCTACTGGAGTTGCCCACCTCAAACATTTGTTCCCGACATTACGGGCATTAGTGTGGCAGAGCACCAGGCTGCTAGTACAGACGTCCAGCTTATGGATACCGGGAAATCGATAATTTTCAGTTCTTTCTTCTCCTTATATTATCTAGCTTTCAGTTTGGCCACCACATCCATTCTCTGTTTCTTGTCCTCAAGTGGTTAACTGGGACTCATTAATATTATTAACTTTAGCTTTGTATGGATTTCTGAGGATTGTGTTTCCTTCTTCATGACTTTCCAAAACGATTTTTACAAGACATCATGTATGAAAAGTCTTATCATCACTCCACTTATCTGGTCTTATAACTTTCTTCACATTTACACTTAGGAAAAATCCTGGGAGAAGGATCTAGAGTGCTATTTTACTAAGGCTAGGGTCATGCACATGTCTTTTTTGATATCTTTCCACGTAATGCTCGCCAGCAACCGGTTGTTTCTGGGCATTCTACTCTTCTTAAAGACTCCCATTCATTTTGATTGGGATGTTTTCGGATATCTGGAAGCCTCATTTTTTTCAAATATGCCTGGGGAAGTAATTTTATAAGGCTACCTCCGCGATGTGACAAGATTTTCAGTAGATTTATCAAACTTCACACGTTTCTAGGCCTACGTCTGGCCTTCGGAACATGTGTATGAAAACTAGTGCCTACCTCGACACCATTATGTATATATATCATTCAGTCATCATTGGTATTTTGTCACTGGGCTATTTTATTATAAATGACACCACGTGTGCCATCATCTAATTCTGAACTAGTCGTTTTGTTTTTGTCAACAAAATTACGAAACGATTTTTGAGACACCACCATGTCTACAAGCGCTTGGATTGATGACATGAACAGCCTACAGCGAAAGCAGCATGGCCAAGACAAGGGTTGTTTGCCGGATCTTTTGAAACCTGCCAGTGTTAAGTTGGCACAAAACCAGGGAAGTCATTCACCGCACGCATAAAATTGGATACCCTGGATAACAGGGAAATTGTAGTCAAGTCACTCGCAAAGGATTGCTTCAAAATCATAGCAGCATTGACAATTAAAGTTTTTAAAAAAGAGGAATGGATAGCAGCTCGTGACGACAAGATGCTCGCAGGTGTTGCGTTAGTCGTTTTTTTAAGGCTTTTGATAAGTTTTTCTATGTTTGACTAATGAAGAATTTCTAAAGTTTCAGTTTGATGCTAGTAAACAGTCCTGAATTAAAGAAACTCTGTGAGACAGGAAACAGAGTGAGAATGAATGGAACACTATCTGAATGGTGACCCGAAAGGAGTAGGGTCCATCAAGGAAAAATCTTGAGTCGTCTTCCTTACATTCTGAATGTGAATGAACTCCCACATAAGGTTGAGTCACCTGTGTTATTATTTGCAGATGTGAAAATATAGAAGGTAATCAATAACACTGACGACAGGAGTACACTACAAGCGGACTTAAATGTATTAGTCGATTGGTTCAAGCACTGATATCTAAAAATTAATCTTGTTAAATGTGCAGTTATGCAAACTGTTCATACCAGATGTCATAAGTACCCAATGTCCAAGAAATTAAAGACTTAGGAGTTACAGTCAGACAAAACTTGAAAACGTGTACCCACTGAAGCAACAGAAGAAGGATTTCGGGTGTTGTGATCTCTTCACAAAAATCCAAATGCATTCGTGAAGATAAGTTTTAGATATCGTATCCCAGTTTGTGTGATCCCATCTCGAATGTTTAATTCAAGCGGCCATTGCTTGCTTCATAAAGGATGCTGAGGTATTGGAGCACATTCGAAGACTTGATGCTAAGTTGGCGGCTGATTTGATGAACCTATTTTAGAAAGACTGCTTAGAGAGACTAAATCCTTTTTCCACAGTCTTATCGTAGGGGTAGAGGGACCCTATTGTTAGCATTCCGAATTCTTAATAGAGACCTTGGTATTGGTATGTCTTATTCCCTCCCACTAACGACGATCGATTATCTTTGCAGTCACCACAAAAACTCAGAAACCACGTTAGAATCAAATTACTATGGGTTTACGCTTCTCACACAGATTGGTCAACGAATGAAATCCCTTATCTGAACAAGAAGTATCAGTTGTTTTATTCAACGAGCTCAATGACAAAAGAGATCCTAAAAAAGAAACCCGCTTGCAGGGATTCAGACAGGTCTGTTAGCATACTATTATTATTGCTGGACTAAAGAATAATACACCATGCAAAGCAAAGTAGACGAAAACACACAAGCAACCAGACTCCGGTGATTAGCCCACCTCTTGCATATGGATGTTAAAGACAGACTATCACTATCACTGTGGACGCTTCGTTAGTCTATATTTCAGCAGGAATGAATGGAGTGAGCCTGAAGAGGTCAAATAGACCTTTTATTGAATTAATTCAATGTAATCAAATATAACCGAACACCATTCACATGTTCACACATAATGCAAGTATTTCAGCGATACGTCAAATTATGCTAACAACAGAGAGAAGGGGTTCTTCAGGTTATTCAATCAAGCGCAAAATTGGATAATTTATCACAGTTACCTAAATTACACTTCGAAGTGCCTCCAAAATGTACACTTGAACTGTTACTCTCAGTTCACGTGCTAAAACAAACGTTTTAATTTTGCATGCGCGTTCCCGATAAAATTGCTACATTTATCTTAAAAGCTGAAGCGAAAGGTTCATTTTGCCTCTTTATTCTTTTTCACGCTTTTAGTTAGGCCCAGTTACAGTAAATAATACTATATCTAATTTCCAGTGGTTCCAAATAATTGTTGACGGGATGGAAGAAGCTTTGGTCAGATACCTTCTATGTTCAGAAGCAGAGGATCCGCTATTTCTCTGGAGACCAGCTTATCCATAGTAAGTCAGCTATTCCTGTTAGGCGGTTGAGCGTCGATTAAATTTATAGAGGTCGCATGGTTTTTTTCAAGGAATGTGGTGCAAGTGGGTTCCTGAAGTGCCATGCCACCAGACAGCTGTTCGGACTGGTTGTGAAGGGGAGGCAGAGATAGTGAAAGGACATCCAGTGAACTCAAGGGCGATGAAGTGTAAAAAAGGTGAAAAGAAACGGAAAGGAAACTGAGAGGAAACCTAGGTATATTCAGGGGAGATAACGGTGATATGCACGACGCTAGCATATTGGATAAGTTCACAGAGCCAGGTGAGAGAGAAAGGGAAGTCAAGTTTATAAGACGAATTCTGGGAATAGAAATAGTAATGATGTTGTTGGGGTGCGGTAACTGGAGGCGAAACGCCTATTATGGACGTAAAAGTCAGGTTCGCGATGGTAGTTGCTGCACCAGAGATTCGGTATAGCGTTGGTTGCCCCAAATTGTGTGAAATTAGTTGTTTGTGCTGATAGTCTACATTCTTGTTGGATGGGAGCAGGCCGTACATCTCTGTGTGGCTTTCGACCCTCTTTTTGAAGCTGCCAACTGGCTGAGCAGTAACAATCTTTGCAGTCAGTGTGATAGAGTGACCCCGAACTTGACCCTCGCTTTCTATCCGTGATTTCAGATTGCTTGTGAAAAGGAGGATTTCAGAAGAAATAAATAGTGGCAATTTTGTTCCGGCGCTCAGCAACCCACTTGTCTAATGCCGTGTGCAAGGGGTCTTTCTTCTAAATCCAAGTTGCTGGCGAGTAACTAAGTTCACCTGCACAAAAAGATCGCTAAGTCCTTTGAACGTAATTACTCTATTGCTTTGGAAGTTATGGATATGAGGGTTGCCGATTTGGAATAATTCAAACTGTTCCGTCGGCCCTCCATGAAGACATGAAGTCTGTGACCCTACCTAAACCGATTCGGCTTCTTTTCTTGACGTGGGGAATTTTCAAATAATTTGCCACTGTTTGGTCAAGATCGACACACTCTTTCTCAGAAGTGTCGCGTGGCCTTTGTCGAGTCAAAGAACAACATTCTATCTGAGCACTAACAGCCTTTGCTGCCAACGACAAGGTGTTACTTGGTCAGTCAAATGTTCGTTTACTCCTAAGCAGGAAGTTGATGACTACAAGGTTCGAAAATAACGGTGGATTAGGAGCTTTACTGCTTCACTGTCACTACTGTCTATCCTGTTGGGCTCCACTAGTTAAGGCAACACTGCCTAGGCCCTGTGGATGAAGACAGCATAGTGAAACAAACTTTCAGTTAGAAACAGAAGTGATTGTTAAAGGTACCAGGTACTCTGTAAATGCATCCCACCAATACTGTGACATTCCTACAGTTCACTATAGCGCATAGGGAGTCACTTATCAAGAACCATATTTTCCAGCCTAAATACAGTGAGAGTGTTCTGGAAGCACATCAGACAACCTCATCCTCTCTCGCTACTCCTGTCACATCGGAATTGTTTGTGCATATCAAAACTTATCTCACTGGTATATTTGCGCGACACCAAGACTCGGCTTATATATGAGCGTGATTTCTCTCAATACTGATTGCTTGCCAAGGACGGATCTTGCGTTTATGAGAACGATGTACAAGTAAAAGGAGTGATAATATGCAGAGCTCTCTAATTCGCTAAACGGGCCAAAAGGCATCTCAGTGTCGCTTGATTGGGTATGGTCTGACGTCATTACGTTACAAAACGTCTCTGCATCTTGCTCACTTGTAGTTGTAGTTACTAGGATATACTTGGGGTAAATCGAACGGACAGTGGCTCGAAATAGTACAACCTTTATTAGAGAAGAACGAGGCAATGTTTCTATCTGGGGTGTTCACTGAGCACATCATATTCACATACGAAGAGTTTGGTCTCGTGCAAGAGTAGTCTGTAGCATCTGTATCAATTTCGTAGAGGGTAGATAGTTTTACTACTGTACGTGGTGGGTGGGCAGGGCTGGTGATACCATTTGGAGGATTCAACAGATGTGTTATGTTTTCTTACCTGTTGACACCACTTGGGCAGTTGGCGCCTGGGATTTGTGTGTATGGCTGACTATGTCCTTTCTGTCGCTCCGACGGCGCTAAGATTAGCGGTTCAGAGTAAGGGGTCTCAGCATCCCCGTCAGTCGGTTGGCCAAAGCTGCAGCTAATAGGGACGTAATGGACAAAAGATCATTGTGTTTTTGCGGTCCATGTAAACCTCTGTTCTGCGTTTTATTCATTGCCAGTGACTGCCTTCCGTTACAATTCACAACGGATATGACTGACGTTATGTTGAGTGGGGGGCTGTTTCCTAGTAGGCTAGTGCTATGCAGGCGATCAAAGTTCTTCCTCACAGAGTACCCCACTGACGCTCCATTTTAAGTGGTTTTATGTTGGCTCTTCTGATTAGTAAACGATAGGGTCGGGCTGCTGCGACTTCTATTTATGTTCTCGTTACTAGTGGGACGCAACCCAGCTTTTAAAGCCTTTTTGGTGAAGCCACTGCTCGTGCCTCTGTCAATTCCAGAAGGGATTGCGGGACCATTTCGGATCATTGTATGATTTCTGCATCCGTCTCTACGTGCCGGGTTCCATGGGAGCATTGGTTTATCGGCTGCATATCGAGTGGCTGATATCCTAGGACCCAGGTTGGTGTGGGTTGTAGACTTTAGACCTCCAGCAGACATCAGTGAGAGTTCTGTGACGTTTAGTGCAGTGCCAGTTTTTATGTCGGGGCTTTCTGTGGATACGTGTAGATCTACAGCATTAGGTGGTCGAGTCAAATCGTGCATTTCGTAGTCTTCGGTCTCCACGTTGGTCGGTGCCGTTTTCCGTACATTTGACTTGACAGGGTTTGGGGAAGAAGTCTTAGGCTTGGGCACGTTAGAGGAGATACCTACTGCTTTGGTGTGTTGCAGCTTTGGAGCCTTTTGACTGCCTGGTCTATGCGCTAAGTTGTACACCTGCCTTTCCACCACGGCCTTATCAAGAACTATCTTCATTCCTGTAAAGACGGTGTTGTTTACTAAGACAGATTTTGCCTTAATGAATGTTTCCCATTATTACCACTAGTAGTGGGGTTATTATTAATAATATCTGTATTGCTACTACTACTACCACTGCCAATATTTTTCTTTCGATTTCTTACGAATTTATTTATAAATTTTGGTGGGTAACTACTGGGACGTAGGGTGTTCTTGATGTGTCTAATTTCTTGTCTGAGATTTTCCGATCTACAGGGTTAAGAGAGAACTCAGAGCCTCTGCTGTGTTACCACTCAAGGCAGGCAGCTCAGAAGCACTACGAAGAATTCTCAATAAGACCGGGATTAAAGTGGCATTCAAACCAACAAACTCACTTAGAAACAAGTTTTGTAGGTTAAAAGGTCCTACCGATGCGATTAAGTGAAATAATCTGGTCTGCCAAATCCCTTGCAATGATTGCGAGGTCAAGTGCATAGGTCAAGGCAGCCAACCAGGGTCGATTAGAATAACAGTGCACGAAAAACTTGGATAAATCAAGATCGGTAGATCCTAATAAGATAAGAAGTCTAGAGAAAAACTCAGCTATAGCTCTGCATGCGATGACACACAATCACACAGTAGGGCGGGATAGGGTGACGGTGTTGAAAACTAACTTAGTTGGGTGGAGGGAGAGATTGATAACCGAATCTCTGTTCATCGAGTCAACACCAAACACATGCAATCGAAATGATGCTACACCTGTCCAAGATATATGGAAAATTCTACTACCCTAGTCATCACAGAGAAGGAGAGAAAACTAGGAATATATAAAGACTGTCTTGAAGTTGTGGAGTTACCTGATATGAATATGCACAATAAATTATGCCCGAAACTTTATCCACTAAGTGCTACTGTTTCACTGTGTTATATTTTTAATAAATAGACTAAAATGGAATTACGCTTGACCACATTGCCGAAGTTTTGCATCTATATTAATGCAAGTCTCTTACCTACTTCAGTGGTGATAAGCTTACCAGGTGATCTACCTTGGTTAGTGTTTCGATACCAACCTCAATAACGGGCCTGTTACGCGTCGAGATGCTCAGTAGCAAGAGATTGCTAATCTGAGCTCTGATTTCCTCCATTTGAGGTGACACTCCGAAAGCCCTTGCCATATTTTCTTGTGGTGCATTAATCTGCGTATTTCTGCCCCTAGTTCCTCTGTGGGGGCCTTCAGACTTTCGATTTCTGGAAGGAGTGATGTCACACCTGGTGGCTAAAGTCTGACTGGTCTTACAAAAGACATGGAGCTCCCACCAAGCTTTACATCCGCTGCAGCATTTGTTGTTGCGGTCTTGTTACATGTTGGGCCTGTAGAGTTGCTCCGATTGTTATCGACGTTCACCAGCTTATCTAACACAGAGCTTTTTCTGTTGAGCATAACTGGAGTATAAGTTGACTCATTCATGCGGTTGCGAGAGGATCCTGCTTTCGGCGTTACCAACATTTGGTTGCTGTTGATGTACTGTTCCACCGATAATTGTGTCCTTGCCTTTTTACATTCATTTACCATATCTAGTTGCATACCTGATGTGTGACTAGTCGTTTGAAAAATAAAATAACTTTATGACAAAGTTGATAACAAAGTCATGAAACAGTTAAGATCTCACGTTAAAATGTGGCACAATTTCAAACGCGCCGTGTTATGTGTCAGCACGTTAGTTCTCATG